AAATTACCAGGAATAAAGAGGGATACTACATAATGATAAAGGGACCAATTCTTCAAAAAGATACAATACTAACAATCAAGCACCAATAGAGGTGAGACAAAAAGTGACAGAACAGAAAGGAGAAATGGACAAATCCACTATTATATTTGGAGACTTCAACACCCCCTGTTCATAACTGATAGATTAAGCAGGCAGAAAATCAATAAGGATATAGAGTTGACCTGAACAGTACTACCAATCAACTTGATCTAATTGAAATTTACAGAATACTCCATCCCACAACAAAAGAATACACATTCTTCTCAAGCTAGCATGAAACATCCCTAAGACAGACCATATTCTGGGCCATAAAACACACCTTAACAAATGTAAACGAACAGAAATGACAAAAAGTATGTTCTCGATGGAATTAAACTAGAAATCAATAACAAATATTTGAAAATTAAACAATACATTTCTAAATAACACATAGGTCAAAAAAGAATTATAAATAACTACGTAAAATATTTTGAACTAAATGAAAATGAAAACACAACTTATCAAAATTTGTGGGATGCAATGAAAAGTGCTTAGAGGGAAAAATTTATAGCCATTAAGTACAGCGATGAGAAAAGAAGAAATAGCTCAAGTCAATAACCTAATCTTCCACCTTAGGAAACTAGAAAAAGAAAAGCAATTTAAGCCTAAACAAGCAGAAGAAAAAATAGTAAAAATCAGAGCAGAAATCAATGAAATCGAAAACAGGAAAATAGAGAAAATCAACAAAACTAAAAGCTGATTTTTTGAAAAAAATCAATAAAATTGATAAACTCGTAGCCAACTTAATCAAGAAAGAAATAAGACACAAATGACCAATATAAAAAATGGAAAAGAGGTTATCACTACCGATCCCATGGACATTAAAAGGATAACAAAGGAATACTACGAATAACTCTAAGGTCCCTGGGTGGAACAAACAGTTTGAACTCGGCTGTAACTGGAAAATTGGCAGTTCGAACCCACCCAGTGGTGCCATGGAAGAAAGGTCTGGTGATCTGCTTCCATAAAGATTCCAGCCAAGAAAGCCCTACAGAGCTCAGTTCTACTCTAACACATGGAGTCACCATGAGATGGAACTAACTTGATGGCAACAGGTTTGGTTTGCTTTTGGTTTATGAACAACTCTAGGAGTACCTGGGTGGTGCAAACAGTTAAGTGTTCGACCACTAACTAAAAGGTTGGTGGTTTGAACCCACCCAGAGGCACCTCAGAAGAAAGGCCTGGCGATCTGCTTCCAAAAGGTCACAGCCTTGAAAACCCTATGGAGTACAGTTCTACTCTGCAACACATGCGCTCATCATGAGTTGGAATTGACTTGATGGCAACTGGTTTTTTTTTTAATGAACAGCTCTATGCTTATAAATTTGATAATTCAGAAGAAATGAACCAATTCCTTTATTAAATATAGACACAAACTACAAAACACATAGGAGAAATAACTTAAACAGCCTTATATCTATTAAAGAAACTGAATCAATAATTAATAATAATTATAAATCACCAGGACCAGAAGGTTTCACCAGCGAATTCTACCAAACATTTAAGGGAGAAATTATACCAGTTCTCCATATCTCTTCCATAAAACAGAAGCTGAGGGAACACTTCCCTGATTCATTCTATGAGGCCAGCATTATCCTAATTCCAAAACCAGATAAAGACATTACAAGAAAGGAAAATCATAGACCGGTATCACCTGCGAATATAGACATAAAAATCCTTAACAAAATATTAGCAAATTATATCCAACAATGTATAAAAATAATTATACACGACAACAAAGTGGAATTTATTCCAGGTATGAAAGGCTGGTTCAATGTTCAGAAATCAATCCATGTAATACACCACATCAACAGATTAAGAAGAAAAATCATATGATCATATCAATTGATATAGAAAAAGAATTTGACAAAATCCAACACCTATTCATGATAAAAGCTCTCAGCATACTAGGATTACGGGGGGGGGGGTACTTCCTTAATTTGATAAAGAACCTATACAAAAAACGTACAGTTAAAATCATACTTAATGGTAAGAAACTAGATGCTTTCATCCTAAAATCAGGAACAAGGCAAGGATGTCTCTCATTGCTCCTATTCAACATCGTACTGCAAGCTCTAGCTAGTGTAATAAGAAAAGGAAGTAAAACGTGTGGATTGGAAAGGAATAAATGAAACTGTCTCTATTCACAGATAATATGATTGTCCATGGAGAAAATCCTAAAGAATGGACAAACTCCTGGAACTAATATGCAAGTATAAATAAGATTGCAAAATATAAGGTTAATATACAAAAGTCAATTGCTTTCCTACATACACCAGCAATGAACAACTGGAATTTGAAATTAAAAATAAATAACACCATTTACAATAGCACTCCAAAAAATGCAGAATGTGTCAAAAGAATCTAAATGTATTACAAACGTACAAAAAAAAAACCTCACTGAAGGACATGGGGATGGCTAAGGTACTGATGTTAAATAAGCACTCTGTATTAAGTGGAGTCTGTAAGACTAAAGGCAAAAGGAATTGTATATAAGCAACATACTCTAGTTGATAAAAGTTGTATCCCAAGTGAATATAGGTTAACCACTATACCTGTATACTGTAATTGAACAATTAAGTACATAAATGGATGGCAGATGGTGGGAGACAGGTTTCTTACTGTTGGAGCGGAAGGTTACAGATAAGAAAGGGGAGGAGGCTAGAATGATCCATGTGGTAATACATTACAGTTGGAGACAATATGAACTCATGTTTAGCTTTATATATAGATGATTACATATAGAAATATTTATAGATATGTATACACACACACACACATCTCCTTGCTCTGTTAGCTGAGATGGCCTGTAAGCAAAGACACCCCAGTAGCAACGAGCACACCTTGCACCCAAATCTTGGTTTTTAATATCATTCTCCAATAAACAGTACCAGAGCTCCTTGGAGAAATGGCTAGTTCTAGGACTGGGGTAGGAAATATACAAGATGAGGCTAGAACAGCTTATAGTGCCAGAAAGAAAGTGCTTAAAAAAAAAAAAAAAAAAACCACAATGACAGGGTATGTCAAAGGGATACAGGAGCCAACTGAAAGAACTTCCAATGGCCAAAGCTGGAACTATTTGAGCAGCAAAATATGTAAAGTAGTATTTATTGGATTATAAACCAATATGAAAAGTACAGTACAATATGAAAAGGAGAAATAAAAGAATAACTTTACAATGGAGAAACCTGACAAACACTACCTCAGCCAGGTGACCAAGGTTAACATTAACACTTACAAGTCATATTGATAGTATGTACCCTTGACGACATGATGAAAATGGCACTTCACCTCTGTGGTCTTCTTCCCCAAAATACAAAACTTCTGTCTAACCACAAAAAAACCAACCAACCCAAATTGAGGGACAGTCTACAAAATACCTGACCAATACTTCTCAAAAGTGTCAAGGTCATCAAAAACAAGGAAAGTCTGAGAAACTGTCACAGCCAAGAGAAGCCAAGGGAAACACGATGACTAATACTGTGGTAACCTGGATGGGATCCTGGAACAGAAAAAGAACACTAGGAAAAACTGAGGAATATAGACTTTAGTTAATAACGATATATCTACATTGGTTCATTGTGACAAATGTACCATACTAATTTAAGATGCCAGTAACAGGGGATAACTGGGTATGGCATATACAGCAATCTCTGTACCATCCTTGCAGTAATTCTGTAAATCTAAAACTGTTTTAAAATACAAGTTTATTAAAAAACCACACACTGTAAGCAAAAAAAGGCAAATAAAAAGCCCGGGGGAAAAAACGGGTCTGCTGAAATGTTAAGGCAGGGCCTAACAAGAATTTCCTGGGAAACAACCCCAAAGTGTCAGTGGACAAGAAATTAACAGGTGGGAATAGCACAGAATCTGATCACTCAGATTTTTCTCCTGGCTCAATCTCTAGTATCTGAATCTGCTGGAGAGATCGCTGTGTGCAAAATACACGCACAGATGAACAAAAAACATGGAAAGGAATGTTTTATAAGAACTTTGTAAAATATCAAGGCCCAAGTGACAATTGGGTACTACCCACCTGGGTTAGTTTAGCTTTACTGTAGGTAGAGGAATTCTCCACCCTTTTGTTGGGACAAGGTGGTGCTTCAGTCCATCATAATCTCTAGCCCATCAGCAGTATTGAAGACTTTAAGAGGATGCAGGATTGCTAGAAGGCTTTAGAAGGATGCAGGATTGCTACGGAGGGTGCAAGGTCGCCATGAGTCACAATCAACTTGACAGCACACAACAGGATCCATGAGAAGGTGCACAGTGCCCAGCAGACATGGCAGTACGCAGGGTAGGGTGGCACCCAACCGCTCAGCTACCTGGACTTATTCCTAGACACAGGTGAGACCTCCCTCAGCTCTCCCCCAAATGTCTGATGGAGTCCTGGTTCTGCTAGTGCAAGGGAGGGGGTAGGAGCCAGCCCAGCACAGCTCACATACACAGTACCTCACGTGATCCACTTGGCAGCCCTGGGAGGCAAGCATTATCTTCATTTCACAGATGACAAGACTGATCCTTACAGCAACAGATCTGTAATAACTGCCAGGTGGATTCCTCCAGCTACAAGTCCCAGAAGTAATGTGAGTTTTACTACCATTTGAAGTTCTGACAAGAATTCTAAGTGTGTCCCCTGAAAAGATGTTTTGATTGCTTACTTTGCTTTGATTGCTTACTATGTATTGGTTTCCTATTTTTAATCTTTTATTATTTCTTTATAACAAAAGTAATGTGTTTTTAAGAAAAAAATGGACAGATGAGCAAAAAAAAAAAGAACAACAAAAAAAATCACCCACAGATGACGACTGTTAATCTTTTAGTAAACACAGCTTTCAGTTCTTCTGTGCATAGATTACTAGGTAAATATCTTTGTAGCTTAAAAAAATGGACTGATGCTGTATATATGGTTCTGCAAACCGTTTTTTTTTTTTTTTTTTTTAATTTTACAATGCACCAAAAACATTTTTTTCCATGCAATGGGTGAAAATTCCCTACTGAAACACAGAGCGCTGTAGTTGGGTCAAAAGGCTACTGGTAACTAGAGGGATGCCTAAAGACAAGTATCAGCATAAGGTTAAAGCACAGACCCTGGCAAATACCTGCCAGGGAAATGCAAGGAAAAAGAAAGCAGGTTGATCATGTTCTAATCAGTCAAAACACGAATGAAGCTCAAAGGCACTACACATAAGGAATGTCTTCAAAGCCTCTTTGCTGGGCCCTGCAGCCACCCCTAAGTTCCCTTGGGCCCCTAGGGTGGAAGGGATTCTGTAAACTTCTTTGCATCCACATAAACCCTCCCAATTTCTGTTTGGATTTTTTCACTTCATCCTCCACCCTAGCCATCTCATCAAATTCTCTTATCATCTCCTCATTGCTCAAATGCATATCATGTATGGCCTCCTTATACTCCTTGAGGTACTCAGCCAGCCCTTTGTTGGTTTTTCTTTTTGCTTTTCTGGGTACATCATCCTGAGCTGGGCGCTTTCCTGCAGCCCTTGTTTCACTGGCTGGCTTTCCTCTTGGCTTTGCCTCACCTTCTGGCTTTCCCTTATCTTTTAGCATTTCCTCATCTTCTGTCTTTGCCTTCTTTTCTGTCTTTCCCTCATTTCCTAACTTTTCCTTGTCTTCCAGAGTACCAGCTACTTCTGGCTTTCCCTTAACCTGCGGCTGTTCTTGGTTTTCCATCTTTCCTTGGTTTTCAGGCTTTCCTTCATTTTCACTGCAGAGTTTTTCCATGTTGAGATTCTTCTTTTCCTGCCCTGGGGGTGGGGGGAGACAGGGGAGATGGGAGGAGACAAAGGAGACTGAGGACTTAGGAGTGGAACACATGTTCTGATAGTACTTGTATCTTGCCCCTTCATCAGGGTTCCCTTAACCTGGCCGGGCCTCCAAGTGTGCAGTCTGCCCACACCTTACCCTCCCCCCCATTCTCCCACACACGAGCCAACCCTTTCCCCGGCAGGCCGTGTCACCATCTCTACTTCCAGTGTGGAAGGGTGTGTGTGTAACAGTTGGAGGGTGGTGTCCCTAAATTCTGCCCAGCCTTGCCCTCCACACGCCCCCCAGCCCCGGGTCCAGGTCCAGTGTCCCCCTCTCATAGACCTGCAGGGCTTCTGGATAGGCTCCTCCTCCTTTTCTGGCCTCGCAGAGCGCCGGGAACAACAGATGCGCAGACCTGCAGACAAACAAGAGACGGGCAGGGCGCTCGGTGGACGCATAGTGACATGGGTCCTTTCCTGAATCCTGGCCTCCTCCCAATGATTCCCTTCTCCACATCCTCCGCTCCCCAGCCGCCATTTCTTTTCAGGCCTCGGGTGCCAGACCATGATGTTTTTCAAACTAATTTTGGTCTCTGAGTTCTCCTCCGCAGGAGGCAACTCGCCTCCCTACCCTTGAGGTCAACGTTTTTCTCTACGCCCTGAATGGTAAAGGTGGATTATTTTCACTGTCGCACCGCTGGGACGTCCCCCCCCATCCCACCGTTTCCGTTTTCAAAATGGACGTAGGGCAGACAGGAGGGGGTGCTGTGAAAGCAGCCCCAGATACCTGAGGTGTGCACCCTGCACCCAATGGCTGTTTGCTGTCCCTCAGCCCCCTTTAGACAGTTTCCCACCGCCACCTCTATCTACACTCGGGCCAGCTTCCCTTGACCTGAACCCCATCCCCAACCCGTTTCCTCCTCCCTCATTCCAATGTTCCGCAGACAGCAAGGAGGGCCCTCACACTGACCTGAAGGAACGTGGAGCAACAATAAGGAGCTCAGGGACCAGAGCAGACGCCACCGGGTACGGACCGCGGGGAGGACCAGCGGGCTCGGGAGCTGCTGCCCACGTCAGCGTCTGCAGGTCATGTGATCGCCGCGCGTCACCCGCGGCTCGGGGCGGGGGGGGGCACCCCGCCCCGCCCACCAGCCTGTCAGCTGCCCACCACTCTACTTGAACCCGTACCCCTCTGCCTGTCTGGGCCCTTTTGTCCTTTTCCTCTTGTTGAGAAGTTGGTCGAACAAAGAATTTTAATAAAAACCACAGCGGCCTTTTTTATGGGTTGGGCGGGTCCGGGTGAGGGATCTTGACAATGGGGCTCTTAAGCTCCTTTGAAAGAACGTAGACCAAGCAATGAGATCATATAAACGTGAATCTAAATTGCCAGATATGATAACATCGCACAAATAGTAGAATAGTCCATTTCATTTAGAAAAATGAACCAGGCCAACGGGGACTTGGTACCGGGAGTGAGTACCCACCATGTCCGAGGCACGATGCTGTCGTCTTGACTTGAATTCCCCCTTTTTGTCAAGCAGCTTGCTCAAGTGGACTTCATGGCGTCCTGTGAGAGAGAATAGCATTGGAGATCTAATTTGGTTGGCAATGGTGTTGGTGGAAGCACGGAAAACCCCTCTGAAAAATTACATTTAAATGGCAACCTCAAATGTGAACAGGAGAGAGCTAGGCTGGGAGAGCCTCCCAGTCCCAAGGGGTAGCAGCATGTGCAAAGGCCCTGGGGTGGGAAGTAGTTTGGCTCATTTGGGATGGAGGGAGGGCAGTGTAGCAGAGTGAGTGCAAGAAGAGAAGGTTCCCCAGATGAGGGGAGTGAGGAAGGCAGGGGCCAGAGGACACAGGGCCCTGTAGGACATGGTCAGGAGTTACATTTTACCTGCCCAGCTCTGGGAAAGCACTGGAGAGCTGGTTAACAGGTGTGGTCCCACTTGCTTTTGCCAGCCGGGAAGTTGTTGGCCTCTGAGGGTCAAAATTCTGCCCTTCCTTGGGAACAGAACAGAGGAGCCATGAGGAGCAGCCTTGTGGATAGAGCCTCTGCTGCTGAAGTGACAGGAGCATGTCCTTGTTCCCATGGAAACCTGAGGTAAGGGTGGTGAGGCGATGATGGGGACACATGGCAGGACTTGGTGGGGAGAAGGGGGGCCCATGATTCAGGGTCTGGGACTCTCCTGATTCCCCCATCCCAGTGAGTAGCTGAACTAGGTGAAGATGACTGGGGGGCAGCTGATACTTCATGAGGTCCAGGTCATGCTATCGACCCTGCGAAGGGAGGACAAAGGTCACTGAGACCCACAACCCCACTTCCCTTGTCTGGATTTGAGACAAGCTGAAACAGCTAGAAATTCTGTTTGTGACAAGATGCGTGCTTTTTAAATTATTTTAATTAAAGTATAATTTAGATAAAGTTAAGTTCATTCTTTTTAGCTTACAGTTTGGTGAGTATTGACAAATGCACACAGTGGTGGAACCACTACCATCAAGATATTCCAAAGTGTTCCATCACACCAGATCATTCCCTGTGCCCTTTCGCAGTCAACCTCTTCTCCTCAGCCCAGCCTTGACAACCATCCATTTGTTTGCTGACCCACAAAGTTTGACAGCTGTAGGTTTTCATTTTGTATTTTTATTTTAATTCAGGTCTATGTACTTTTGATTTCCCTTGAGACTTTCTCTTTGATCTATGAATTAATTACATGTTTGTTGTTTAATTTCCAAGTTCTTAGAGGTTGTCCTGTTATGTTTCTGTTCTTGATTTCTGGTTTTATACCGTTATTGTCAGAGAGACACTGATTTCAATTCTTTGAATTTGTTAAGGATTGCTTTATGACCCAAGATGTATTGTATCTTGCTCAATCTTCCATGTGCATTTGAAAAGAGTGTGTGTTCTGTTATTGTTGGGTGGAGTGTTTTTTAAAGTTGTCGGTTAGATCCAGTTTGTTCATGATGATGTTCAGTTCTGCTACTTCCTTGCTGATTTTTTGTCTATTAATTTTATTACTGAGAGCAAAGTGTTGAAGACTCCAAGTATAATTGTGGATTTGTCTATTCCCTTTCAGTTCTGTCAGTTTTTGCTTCATGTACTTTGAGGTGTGTTGTTAGGTATATACAACATGCATGATTGTTATAGCTTCTTGGTGAATTGACAGTCCTTCTTTATCCTTGGTAATTTTGTTTGCTCTGAAACATACTTTGTCTGGTAATATTGCCACCTCAGCTTCCTCTTGATTGGTGTTTGCATGGTGTATCTTCTTCCCTCCTTTTACTTTTAAGGTATCTCTAGCATTATATTTGAAGTGAGTTTCTTTAGACAGCATATATTTTTGTTGTTTGTTGTATTTTTAATCCATTCAGTCATTTAGTCTGTATGTTTATATCATTTACATTTAATGCAATTATTGACATTTGGATTTGGGTCTACCATTTTATTATTCATTATCTGTTTGGCCCCTCTGTTTTTCAATCTCCTATTTCACCTTTTTTGCCTTCTTTTGGTTTATTTGAACATTGTTAATACCCTATTTTAATTTTTTTGTTGTGATTTTAAAAGGAGCCCTGGTGGTACAGTAGTTAAAGTGCACAGCTGCTGACAGAAAGGTAAGTGGTTTGAACCTACCAGCCGTTCCATGAGAGAAAGATGTGGCAATCTGCTTCCGTAAAGATTTACAGCCTTGGAAACCCAACGGGGTAGTTCTACTCGGTCCTATAGGGTTGCTATGAGTTAGAATCGACTTGATGGTAATGGGTTTGGTTGTTTTTGGTTGTGATTTTGAATATATATCTTTGTATAACATTTTTATTCGTTGCTCTATGGATTACAAACTACCTGATTATCTTTTCACAGTCTATTTGGAATCAATATATTACCACTTCAATTGATAACGTAGAAATCTCACTACCTTATAGGCCCCCTTATGTAACTCCTCCCTTTATGCTATAGTTGTCTTATATATTTTATCTACAATCATTGAAATCTCCATCAGACAATATTATATTTTGCTATGGTTTTCCAACATTTCTCATGATTTTGGAAACCCGTTTAGTGCTATCCTGATATTCACTTCCTCCTTATAGCCCCAAGAGTCCCAAAGGGGGGCAAGAGCCAATGGAAATAAGAAATTTGGCATTCATGATATTTTAAAAATTTCAACACTATTATAATTTAAAGATAATACAGCTCAAAATTAGGGAATACCCTGGGTAGCATCGAATGCCAGTGCCCAGAGAGATCAGGGCATTCAGAGCCCTGGCAGGTCCAGGACACGATGAGAAAAGCTTTAGAGTAATTCTAGGTTTCACTGCTGAGCAGACATTCACAAACTGGTTTCCCTGATACACTTAACCTTGCCTAACTTTCTATACCCTGATCTGAACTATAGATTTAATAATAGGTAATGTGAAAGATGTGAAGATTAAAGAAGATACAAGTTAGAATACCTCTGGCTTTTGTAAACATTAATATCCTAACCCCCAGATCATCTTTCTCACCTGTTATTCTGACTGAGCCCCTTTCTACCACCTTAAAAACCTGTTAATTCATTTAGTCCTCATAATCACGTCTCTTGGCCCAACAAGTAAATTTTCATTTCTACCGTCATCATCATCACCAAGAGGGATTGTTGAGTGAGTACCCATAGGGGAGATAAAATGACCAGTCCCTAAGTCCAGGTGCCCATCATCTACATAATAGGTCACTGGGTATATGCAGTGTTTGTCAACCATCTTTCATTATCGCTTACTTAAGGAGACTTTTGGACTTCCCCCACCCAATTATCCCCTTCCTGCTAAGAATGTGGCTTTAAAAAAAATATTTTATTGTATTTTAGGTGGTGAAAGTTTACATAGCAAATTAGGTTCCAATTTAACAATTTTTATAAAAATTATTCCATGACATTGGTTACAATTTCACAACGTGTCAGCATTCTCATATTTTCATTCTGTTTGTTCTGTTTCCATTGATCTAGCTTCCCTTCCCCTTCTTGCCTTCTCATCTTTGCTTTTCGGTAACTGTTGACCATTTGGTTTCATATAGTTGATTGTTTAAGGGAGAATATTACTCATGGGTGACATTGTTTATTTTATAAGCCAATGTATTATTTGGTTGAAAAGTAACCTCCAGAAACAGCTTCAGTCCCAAGTTCAAAGGGCATCTTACGGCAGTAGTCTAGGGGGTTCCTCTAGTCTCTATTGGTCCAGTAGGTCTGGCCTTTTTTAGCCATTTGAATTTCATTCTACATTTTTCTCCCATTCTATCCAGGACCTTCTATTGTGTCCCTGATCAGAACGGTTGGTAGCGATAGCCGGGTACCATCTAGTTCCTCTGCTCTCAGGTTAGAAGGGACCATGGTTTGTGTGGGCTATTAGAACATGACGTTTTAATACCACAGATTTAGTGTATATCAGTTGATTTACTGTGGTCTTTTGGAGGGCTACAAACCATTGTAATGTCTAAGATCTACCCACCCCCAAGAACTAATTTTTGGTTCTTTAGGCACAATTTCCCCTTCATTGAGAATGCATGGTATATTGCAATGAGGGCAAGCATAGGAACCCCATTCTTGCCCCTTACTTATGTGTAGGAGCCCTGGTGGTGAAATGGTGAAATGGTTAAGTGCTTGACTGCTATCAGAATGGTTGGCAGTTCAAACCACCCAGTGGCTCCATGGGAAAAAGACGTGACAATCTGCTCCACTATACATCATAACCTTGAAAACCCTATGGGGCAGTTCTACCCTGTCACATGGGGTCACTATGAGTCGGAATTGAATCAACAGCACCTAACAAGAACACCTGATATGTGATACTGGAATAGTTTCTTAGCCTCTCTTAGCCTGCCCCTGGTCATCTGTAAAAGGGACTCACAATGTCTTCCTTACAGAATTGTTGTGAGAGGTAAATGAGAAATCCCATATAGAGTATATGGCATATAGTAGGACTTCAACAAATGTTAGTCCTGGCCCACTTTTCTCCTCCCTTCCAGAGGAGAGGTGATTTGACCTAAGTCAAGCTGCATAACTGCCATTGAGACCA